CATGGGTTTGGTGGTAGTAGGGATGGTTGCTTTTTTTTTTTTAATTTTAATTTTTTTTATTGCATTTTAGATTTGGGGGTACATGTGAAGAACATGCAAGATTGTTGCATAGGTACACACGTGGCAGTGTGATTTGCTGCCTTCCTCCCCATCACCTATATCTGGTATTTCTTCCCATGCTATCTCTCCCCAGCTCCCCACCCCCCGCTGTCCCTCCCCTATTTCCCCCCAACAGGGATGGTTGCTTTTAAGAATTTCTGGAAAAGGACTTGTTTTGGGACATGCGGTTTCCTCACTGAGTGACCATCAAACCAAAAACAAGAACAGTGCCAACAAAAATTATGACTGGCAAGAATAGCCTACTTATGTAGCTTTTACCTTTTCTTAATGCTATAAATAAAAGAGAACTTTACTTCTACAGTTTCCAACGACACCTGCTTAAAGCAGATGCACAAATAGATGTAAATAAATTACTGGACTCCAACTATTTTTCACTTAAGAAAAATAATTGGTACCTAGGTCCATTCCTATGTTTCTATATTTTTATAGGTCTCACTACATAACTTGTTAACTACTAAAAAAATTAGTAAAGCTATATAAGATTTTGAATAACATCATGAACAAAATTGATCTAGTTGGCATGGACGGGACACTATACTCAATTGCTGCATAACACACCATTCTGTCCTTTTTTTAATTGTATTTTCAGTTCTGGGGTACATGTACAGAGCATGCAGGATTGTTGCATAGGTACACACATGACAATGTGGTTTGCTGCCTCGATCCCCCTGTCACCTACACCTGGCATTTCTCCCCATGTTATCCCTCCCCGACCTCCCCATCCACTGTGTCCCTCCCTTGGCCCTCTGCAACAGACCCTAGTGTGTGATGCTCCCCTCCCTGTGTCCATGTGTTTTTACTGTTCAACACCCGCCTATGAGTGAGAACATGCGGTATTCGATTTTCTGTTCTTGTGTCAATTTGCTGAGAATTATGGTTTCCAGATTCATCCATGTCCCTACAAAGGACACAAACTCATCATTTTTTATGGCTGCATAGTATTACATGGTGTATATGTGCCACATTTTCCTCGTCCAGTCTATTGTCAATAGGCATTTGGGTTGGTTCCAGGTCTTTGCTATTGTTAACAGTGCTGCTATGAACATACGAACACACCATTCTTTTCAAGTGCACATGTGTTAGTAATCAAAACCAACCATATGCTGGATCATACAGAGACTCTCAATAAATTTCAAGTAATTGAATTCAGACAGATAATGTTCTACGACAACAATGGAACACAATTTTGTTATTGATTAGAATAAAAAACAAAAAATGACTAGAAATATTTCAACTGTATGGAAATTTAGCAATATATTTCCAAATAACCCATAGGTCAAAGGTTAAATCACAAAATCATTCTAATTGGACAATAATGGAGATATAACATATCAAAACCTTGTAGTATGCAGGTAAAGCAGTGTTTAGAGGAAAATGTGCAGCGTTAAATAAATATACTAAAAAAGGAGAAGTCTAAAAATAAGTAATCTCATTATTCACCTCAAGAAGTTAGAAGAACAACTTAATCCAAAGACAGTAGGCAATAGCAAAAAATAAATACAAAAACAAAATTTAAGTAGAAGCAAACTCACAGCAGAAACAATTAGCAAAGCCAAAGCCTGGGTCTTCATAATTCTTAAAAATGGATAGGTCAATCAAGGCTGATCAAGAAAAAAGAGAAATGGTATAAATAACCAATATCGAGGATAAAAAGAGAGTACTACTACAGATTCTGTGGATATTTAGAAAGGTAAAAAGATATTCTAAATACCTTTCTGAAGATACATTTCAAAATTTAGATGAAATTTTAAAATTTCATAAAGCCTTAATTTATCAAACTTGACATAGGAAAATGATAAATTATTGATAATTCTGTATCCAAATAATTGAATGCAGCATATACAAGTGAGATTAACAGTAAAAGAAAAATAAAACTAAAATTTTAAAAATTGAAGGCAATATTTTCCCACAAAGAAAACTATAGTTTTAAATCACTTTCACAATGAATTCATCTAAATATTCAAAGAGGAAATAACACAGTCTTCCAGAAAACTGTGAAAGAGGAAACACTTTCCAACTCCTTTTATGAGGCCAGCATACTCGATTCTAAAACCAAACGAGGGCATTATAAGGAAAGAATTATAGGCCAGTATCTCTCATGAACATAATAACAAAAACCTTAAGCAAAATTTTAACAAGTTAAATTCATCTATAAATTTAAAGAATAGCAAACAAACAAATTTGCGGAAATGCAAAGTTGGTTTAACATTTAAAATCAGTAAATAAATGTAATCAACTATTTTAACATGAGTAAAAAAGAAAACAAACTTTGGTGATCATAACAGAATCATGAAAAGGAAAAGCATTTGAGAAAACACCTATTCATGACAAATATCTTAGCAAAGAAGGAATAAAGGTGAATATCCTAAATCTCATAGTGGGTCTTTAACAAAAAATCTAGAGTAAACATCATACATAATAGGAAATCTTTCTTGTTGAGCTAGCGAATAACATGAGGATGCCTGCTATCACTACTTCCCCTGAAGATTGGATGAGAAGTCTTCACCAGCTCAACAAAGGAAGAAGAAATAATAGACATAGGATTGGAGAGAAAAAAAAAGGAGTATCTTTTAAAAGCAGCAAATAAGTTATTATAATTAAAAGGAGAATTTAGCAATGCCACTTGATAAATAGCAATAAACAATTAAAATATGGTGCCATCCACACAAGCATCAAAATAAAACAGTTTCTAGGAATAACTCCTACAAAATACATAAAAGTCATCTACATGGAAAACGGTAAGATATTATTGAGAGAAGTTTAAATGGCCTAAATAATGGTGGAAGAATATGCTCATAAATTTTAACACTCAACATATATAAATATGAATTCTCCGTAAATTCATCTGTAGCTTCAATCACAAATTTCCCACAAGTCATTTGGCAGAAATTGACAAACTGATTCTAAAACTTACTTAGAAATGCAAAGAATGAAATATAGTTGATATGGTAAAACAGCAAAGCTGAAGGACTTAGGATCCCACGTATCAAGACTTATTACTATAAAGCATTTAATTCTGGTCCCGTGTCCCTCTACCACTTCACTATTCCAACTCTCTTCCTCTCAACATCCACCTGGTATGTATAAGGAAGTGCATATGTATTTTTAGATTAACATAAGCACAACATAAGTAGACAAGAAAATATGCTACAAGAAAAAAGAAAGCAGGCAATATAAGTTGTCTCTGAACTATCCTATTCTACATGTGATTGTTCCATTCCATTTGCAGAGACCCATTCTTTGGATACCCAGGTGAGGGTATCATTGCATACTCTCTCAGTTGGCAATGAATTTTCTGATGAATATTTCCATTCCTTTGGTTTTCGTGAAGCTATGTCACAGAGAAGCCCTGCATGCTCAGTCTCCTCCTCGTTCTGCTCCACAGAGTGAAACTCCTTTGGGGATGTGTGTTTGTGGGTGTGAGACTGAGTAGGCGACTGACTGTGTGTCCAAAGAGAGTGTGTCAGCTCACTGCATAGGAACACCAGCCAAAATGCACTGTCAGGTCCAAGAGAAGCCTTCTATTTTTATGGTATTCTAGGAGGTATTACAACTCAGGGTTAAAGTTTTAAGCCGTTTTGAGTAATAATATTGACTTCGTTCCTTTGCACTTCTTGTAGTAATCAAATGCAGTACTTTAGAAAGGAGCTTGCTCGGCTGGGAGCAGTGGCTCACGCCTGTAATCCCAACACTTTGGGAGGCTGAGGTGGGTGGATCACAAGGTTACAAGTTCGAGACCAGCCTGGCCAATATGGTGAAACCCTGCTTTTATAAAAAAATACAAACGTTAGCTGGGGGTGGAGGTGGGCACCTGTAATCCCAGCTACTCAGAAGGCTGAGGCAGGAGAATCACTTGAATCTGGGAGGCGAAGGTTGCAGTGAGCTGAGATCAAGCCACTGCACTCCACCCTGGGCAGCAGAGTGAGATTCTCTCTCAAAAAAAAAAAAAAAAAGAAAGAAAAAAGAAAGGAGCTCCCTCACAGTCATTCTTGGCCTTATAAATAACTGTTTCTTAAAAGTCAGTTTATCTCCTATATGTTTTTATTGCCAATCAACTCACACATTTTGTTAAAAGGCCATAGTGGATTTTTTTAAAGAGTAAGATTCCAAATTATGCTAAGAAAATATTTAGTGAAGGTAAACATTCTCTCTTTAAAGTTTGACTGTAGATGAGCAGAGCTTATTGGAAAAGGATGTTAATTTGAAAACCCACTTGTACTTCTGGGTGGAGAAATAAAAAAGAATAAAAAAGACAACCCAGAGCATCATTCAGCATCCACTTCAGGCCATGCTGGGGACTAGGGACAGGGAAGGAGTTAAGATCTTACTAGACTACCAAGAGGTAAGTTCCAGAAGCCAGTTTTCATTTGCAGCTATTCATGTGGAAAGAATCACTGTCGCTTTTCCCTGCTGATAAACACGCCACTTCAACATCTGTCTTAATAGACCAGAGAAATGAGAAGAACTAAAAACATCTTTGAATGACACTGATGAGAAAAGGAAGCTGAGCAGAAATGAGAAGCAAGTTTGCAGGAAGACTTCAGAAGGTTGCAACCCATGCCTAGACACGTCGAGATACATCTCTCCATGTCTTCATAGTCAACCCAGCCTTGTGGCTCCTTTGCTTTCCTTCCCTGAATTTAGTTCCTAATTCAACCTCAATTGCATCACGTTGGTATGATTATCCAGAGGAGCTAAAGCTCCCTCAGCCAGCAAAATCACAGGAATTCTACCATAGTACAAACATGTTTTAGTAAGATAAACCCAAAGTTACGGTTTCCTCATTTCTGCTTTTTTTCTTTTATAATAACAGATATAAATAAAATTAATTTATAGATTAATTTACAGATTAAAAACCTTCAAAAACCTTTTTTTTTGGGGGGGGTTGCTTCAAACTTTGAGAAAAACAGAAGATGAACGTATGAAAAGAACACACAGGAGGGGGGGGGCATGGCCAGTGGAGGTGGCACGGGTGGCCATCCGGGCTAAGGCTTTTACTTGGCTGCAGACTGGTCGGATTTCGAAGCTTCTGGGCCCCCAAGCTGGGCCCGCGACTCGAAGGTGACGGGGATGGTGATCTCGTTGGACTGCGTGGCTGGCTTGGGCATGGGGGCCTCCACGGTCAGTGTGCCCTCAGGGGACAGGGAGGAGGAGACCTGGGTGGGGTCCACACCAGGCGGCAGCGTGTATTTCCAGGTGAAGCAGCGGGAGGTGAATCCGTGCTCATCCTGCCGCTCCTCGTGCTTGCCAGTGATCTCCACCACGCCACCCTTGGTCTTGACCGTCAGCTCCTCGGGGGCGACGTGGCTGACGTCCAGGGACACGCGCCAGCATGCCTGAACTGGAGACAGGGCTTCATGTAACTCCTCCTTCAGACAGCAGTAGCAGCAGAGCAGTCTCTCCCTTTGCCAAGGTTCGAAGTTCCATGGTCCAGGTTGCTAGTATTACCCAAGCTGGATTAACCCATGGGATCAACTTTGCTGTGGCAAAAGTTCAGAGGAGTCCGGCAGAATCTGAAGTGATTAATGAAGTCCGGCAAAATGAATTTAAAAATATGTTTATACAATGTCAGACACGGATAATTCAGATTTAGCTTTTAGCCTGAAGAATACTTCCATGGCTTTTATTTAAAAATATGAAAACAAATTTTCACCTCTTGGGGTTAAAAAAAAATAAATAAATAATGGCCAAGAAGATGCTGAATTAGCACAGCTCCCTTTCTTAAGATTAATTCAAGAAAAATTATAGGAAAAAAGAAACCTTAAAGAAAACTGTGAGAAATCTCTATGGTGACCCGAGACTGCTGCTTTGAACGTGTGTATGAAGACAGAACATCTTCTTGGTCTGGGACAGGAGGCAGCCCCACCAGGCTGGGGAGGAAATGATGGGAAAGGAACTGTTGGGAGTCTGCAATTGTTTCCCTCTGCGCCACTTCCTCCAGACACACAGTAGCTGCTCCCACACCCTACTGTGACTCAGAACTCTAAAGGTCAAGAAATCCTGGAGAGCTAAATAGGGTTTATTTGTCCCACCTTGTGGCTCCTCTAAGTGCACCATAGGTTTCCAAGATTGTCACAGAAGGGAAAAGGATGCAAAAGGACATGTGTGAGAGGTTTTTATGAACCAGACTGGAACTGGAACTGATTGCCCCGGTCACTTCCAATTGTCCAGAAGCCATAGTCACATAACCACATCTTTCCAAGAGAGAAGCTGGAAAACACAGTCCTGTTCTGAAGAGGAAGAGGTGGTGGTTTTGGTGGAGAGCCAACCAATCTCTGCCACACCCAAAAAATGTAATCCTATAACCAATACTTGTTTTTTCCTTTAAACCTTTACTTTCTACTCCTGTGAAAGAGTCAAATGGAATGCTGTATGCTAAAGGCATTTTCTAACTTTAAAATCCTATTAAACTAAGAAACATAATCATCCTAATTATGAGATAATCTTCCAAGCATTTTGACAAAAATGAGACAGTTCCATGGGAATTATGTTGAGTGCAAAAAGCCAATCTCAAAGGTTATGTATTATACGATCCCATTTATATAACATTCTTAAAATGGAGGACACGTTTAGTGGTTTACAGGTGTTGGAGAGAAGGGAGAGGAAGAGGAAGATACATCTAAGAAGGGCAACACAGGGATCCTAGTGGTGAACTATTCTGTACCTTGACTGTGGTAGTTGTTGTACAAACCTACATATGGAATTAAGTTCCACAGAACCAAATGCATGCATGCACACACACGTGTGCTCTCTCTCTCTCACACACACACGTACAATAAAATTGGAGGGACCTGAATAAGGTTGGTAGATTATGCTAATGCCAGTATCTTGGTTGTGATATTATACTGTGGTTTTTCAAGATGTTTCCATTGGAATAAAATGGGTAAAGGATACATAGAGATTCCTCTGTATTATTTCTTACAATAATGAGGCTCTACAATTATCTAAAAATTAAACTTACTCATGTAACCAAATACCACCTGTATCCCAATAAATTAAGAAAAAAATCAAATTAAAATTAAAAATTAAAAAATAAAAAAAATAAAAAGTGGGACATAGTTATCCAGCTCAATGGAATATTGATGATAAAAGGCTGGACACAGCTGTCCTTTCCCGAGCTAGTTTTCTAAGTGTCTCTCTGTTCTTAAGTAGTGGTCTACTTAGTGTCCTCTAGATCCCTTGGCTTTGCCTCGGCAGCAGTAAGAGAGTTAGGAATAAATGTTCACCAGTGAGCTACTAACTGTGACTGATGACTTTGGAGAGGGTCCAGTAAGGGCTATAACCAGTGATTGTTGGAGCTTGGTGAAAACAGGACTCAAGCCTTGAGGAAACCCTGGGAAAGACAAATGGAGGTTCTCAGGATCAACTAAAGAAACTCAGATGCTAGCAAGTGGTCACCACATTAAAAAGGTGAGAGAAAAATAATCCCAGTGACTTTACTAAAGGCTCACTAGTTACACCTCTACTGGCAGTGATCCTCTGGGACTCTAAGGTAGGAAGCACGATTTACATCTTCACTCTCCTCTTTCAGTTCATTCTCAGAAGTTTGTTCCAATTTGAGGGTGGTTTCACTATGGCAGGCTGGCCATGAAGGATTTGTAAAGAATGAAATTCATATACACAAACACCCCCCCAACTTCTAGTAATCACCATCGTATCTTCTACTTCTTACAGTTCGATTTGTTTTTAGATCCTGAGTAGGAGAACATGTGGTATTTGTCTTTCTGTGTCTGGCTTATTTCACTTAGCATAATGTCCTCTAGGGAGTGAACAGGGAAAGGAGAGATGTTAATCAAAGGGTTCAAAGTTCCAGTTAGATAGAAGAAATAAGTTCTGGTGATCTGTCTTACAGCACAGTGACTATAGTAAAGAATAACATATTATGTATTTCAAAATTGCTAAAAGAGATTTTAAATGTTCTCACCATAAAAAATGATAAGTATGTAAGGTGATTAATATGTTAATTAGACTGATTTAATCACTCCACAATGTATATATGTACTGAAACATCACATTGTACCCTGTCAGTACATACAATTATTATTAGTCAACTTATAATAAAAGTAAATTCAAAAAATAAATAAGAGTTGATTCCATAAAAAGATGAAAATAATGAAATCTAGAGCTAGATACGAGGTTGAAGGAGTGAGGGAGTGAGGGTAGGTTAGCTGGGTGTGAAAAAACAGGTCATGGAGATGGTGTTTTGTTGTATAATCATTTCCAATCAACAGGAAAACAATTTGCATATTATTAACATTTCAAGTTTGTATTCAATGTAATTACCATTCAATTTCCTTCCAACCATAAATCATTTTGTAATAGCTTTGGGATGTGTTGAGGGAAGGGCTCTGAACCAGCAGTGCATTTTCATTTGTGGTCTGTTCCAGTGTATTCTAATAACTGAATGTGTCAAAAGCTTTTTCATTCTGTGCTATATTTTAATAGAAAAAGAAAAGAAGACTTGGGAAGGCTTAATTATGCAGTCCCATCTCACTGGCCAGCACCACCTCCCTTTCTCTGTAGATGAGGAGTGGGACTCCTTTCACTTTTAGTTCTATTAAGATAGCTCTGGCTTCCTCTGTGGTTAGAAACATGAGTTTGATATTACTCAGGTAGCTACACAAGGTAAACGCTAATATAGGACCAACTTCAATAGCTGTTTAGAAACAAAACTCCTCCCTTGTTAGCTATTTTCTATCACAATTTACAAGGAGAGCTGATTTACAGAGAAATTAGCAGTAATAGCAGCAAACACTGATGAATCAATCTGGACAAAGCACTCCACTTGCCCCAAGTAAACAATCCCTCATTATTCACAGTGGTAGTTTGTTCATTTTAAAAGTATTATTTAGTGGTTTGGAGTTTGTCCCTCAAGAACAGCTTGAGCCTCCACTGTACTAGGACTTCCTCATTTAGGAAGATTTAAAACCTCCTAAATCTGGGCACATATTCTGCAAGATTTGTTTTAAATTATATCTGAACCTATGTGGTGTCATAATATATTCTATCATTGCATGTAAAAAGAAGAATTTTTTTCCAATGAGCTTTATTGAGCTTTAGACTCTGGCTTGGGTACTGGGAAGAGGAAAAAACAATTCCTTTAAATGATTCTCTCTTAAAGTAAAAAGAGACAACAAGGGAATCACAAAATGTTCAATGTTTGCTATTGGCTCTCTCAAAGTGTACATGAGAATTTTTAAAACTCCAGAGGTGGTGTTCACAGCTAAGCTGTGATTGTTTTTTGAGAGGGAGTCTTCTTTTCTCCATACCAGGTGATGCTCCATGCCCTGTGATCACAGCAGAGGGGCACCTGCACTGTCCACAGCCTGGCAGAGCCAAAGGCAAGCTTAAGCAGGTGTGACGCCTGATTATGGGTCTTCCTATGAAGTCTGAAAAATGACTGAACTTGGTCCAGCCCTGGTGTAAATGAGAACAAAATGAGTATCTTTGCTGGAACTGAGGCTGATCTTTAAAATTCATAATCACACATATGGCTCCATGAACCATATGGACCAAGCCACATCTGTGTGTGACTTTTGGCTCTGGGCTATTTGCTATTACTCATTGTGGACCAGGTGCAGATTCCTTCTTTCTCTTTTTCTCTCAGTCTATACATTCACATATTTCCCGGAAAAGAGATGCCACTGGGGTCGGAGGTGAAAAGCCAAAGCCTGTGCCTGGGTGACCTACCATTTTGACCTCCGTCACCTAAAACCCTAGTTCCTCCTAGAGCAGAGATTGCTACCACTTGAATGAATGCATGGATATGTGACAGAGAAGAGTATTTTGGGTTTATATTTCCCCTGTCTTCCTCTGCCAACAGCCGTTCCCATCATGATAAGCCCCCAGGTAGCAGTGGAAAGAGGATTCTCAGGAAAGTGGTGTCTATGACGTAGATCAGAGCTCTAGGTCAAAGTCCTGATTGTTAAATAGGGCAAGGGGAGAACAGAGAGCTGCGGAATTTAACCCCATTGCCTTTTCTTGAACTCAGTAAAAAGATGACCTCCAAGGTGACTCCCAGGACACCCTTACACAAACCTAAGACAGTTACATCAGATTAAGAAACAAAACTTCTTCCCTGTTAGCTATTTTCTATCACAATTTACAAGGAGAGTTGATTTACAGAGGAATTAGCAGTAATAGCAGCAAACACTGATGAATCAATCTGGACAAAGCACTCCACTTGCCCCAAGTAAACAATCCCTCACTGTTCACGGTGGTAATTTGTGTGTACATCTATATCTGAGATAGAGTATATCTGAGATAGAGGGAGGACATAGTTAGATCCTTGCATCTTCCTCAGCTCCTAGACAGGAAGGAGGAGGATATCAGAGGTCCCCTGTGCCCTGCAGAGGGACAGGAAGCAGCTGACAGTGCTGACTGGAGGGATTATTAGGGGCACTGTCATAGATGGGTGACAGAGGGTCATCCTTCCAAGCCAGGGACCAAATAGGAGTCAAGAGAAACCAGAGGATAATACAAGGACCCTGCTGTCTTGGAGAGTAACAGCAAGTGGAATAAAGAAATCTCAGTCTAAGTATTTACTTTTTTTAAGTGAGTTACCTAAAAAGAATGTTTAAATTGCTAGATTGGGTGATTCAGTGAACTGGATTATAATTAGTTTCTCTCTTTTCTTTCTCTC